AATATATACATATAAAATATATACTTAAATATAAATATATACATATGTGTGTATGCCCTAGAATACACAAATTTTCATGTTTGAGAGGTGTGAGTTGCAGAATGTTGATAATATTGGATAGTTATTCAAAGTTAAAGCTATGTTTGTTCTACTTTTACTGCTTACCAATAAGAGAAGCCAATGATTAAATATCTACTTCATCTTACATATTACATTTGAAGGTGCTGGCTTTAGTCATTTGGTAGGTAAGTTTGTAACAGCCCGCTTTTACTGGAGTCCATCACCTGATAAAGATCTTTAGGTGATTTGGATAAGGATGTATGTGACCCTGTATTCAGGCCTTGGTGTCACAGAAGATTCAATGAGTAACAAAATGCATGTGGTTGCAGGCTATGTGCAGTCTGTGCCAAAGCTCAGTCAGTTTAGGGAATAACAGTGGAACTTCTTGAGCAATGTTAATTGTTTGGAAAACAGCTATTTTGTTTTTGAAGAAACAGTTATTGAATCAATATTGAATTGAATTGAAGGATTGAATTAAATTAGTGAAGGAAGATTATTACAGTTCTACGTCATACAGATTCATACTTTGATTAGAATCTGCCACTCCTATTTAAAGGGCAGAACTGGATTACCTGTCTGTTTAAATATTAGAACATATACTACAACACCCATTCCAGGTCCCAGCTTTCTGCCTAGAGCTTCCTGGGCATTATCTCTCTCATGCTATGAGTGTCCTTTCCTGTAGTGTGTTTAAGTAAGGAGCCTGGGGCTGCTTCCTCCATCAGGTTCACTTACATATTAATTGCATTACCTAAGTGCTTTGTGATTTGTAACTCATAGTGTATTAATCATTATGTTTTTGAATTCTTTCACATGATATATTTTTCCTATCACTTGGCACTCAGCTATTCATTTTGGCAAGATTCCTGTGTGTAACCTCTCGGGATTATTTAAGGCAAGAAAACAGTTGAAGAGAGATTGCTTCATTTGATTTTGTTCCAACTATTCCAGGAAAGTAATTCATAAAAGATAAGTGATAATGCAAAAATGTCACAGTATTTTCACACACAAAAATGGAGGAAAGTTTCTGAAAACTCATATTCTGCCCAAGCTTGAGTGTATCTTAAGTTAGTATTTTATACTTGGTTTGTCATATTTGTTCACTCTATACATCACTGATTATAGAAGTTTGTGGAAGGTCTTAGTGTCATAGAATGAGATCAGGGAGATTTAAGGACATGGTTTTCATTAGGAAGGAAGAAGTCTTACTCAAGAACGTAATATTTGAATGACTGAAAGATTGAAGATTTCTGCTTCTACTTGTGAGAAACCTCCATCTTCATCTTTTCAAGATGTTAAATTCCAACATTTAATTGGAAAGGTACATGGCTTATTGTCTTGACACATGATATATAATTGTATATATAGTTATATTTAATATATATATAATTAAATCAAAGTTCTTTTTGTTGCTTCACCTCAATTGGCTGAAAATAGAAAAAAAATCACATAAATAATTCTAGTATTGTTAACATTTTTGTGTGCCTCTGAGACTAAATATTTTCTTTGGTCAAGTTAATTTCTACTAATTGGATCAATTTTTACAAAGTGATATAAACATAGCATCTTTTAAAAGTTTTCCATGAACACACATTCTTAGCAAGTGAGACTATTCAACCACATTGTACATCATATTTAAGTGTGTTTATATTTTAGGTAATCTCTTGGCTCATCTTATGCTTCTCTGAAAGACTGAGGTAATGGGTAGCCAGTGTAGAAATATGCTTGTCATAAACACTTGGCACTATTTCTGGGTCTGCAAATAAGCTATACATTAGCATGTCTTCAATAAAGATTCATAAGCATATGAGTTATTAACAGTCACCCTCAGCAACAGAACCTTTGATTTTCTCTTACACGGACATTATCCAAGAGATGAGTATGAAACAAGTGAGAAGGAAATGTAGGTGAATATTCCAATGATATATTTGAAATAAAACTAATCAAATAGTCTCCCATACGGTATCTGAACTGGAAGACTATATAAGAGATATTTTGTTTTAGTACTGTAGCTTCATAGTCTTTTGTCCATTTTCTCAAATAACAAGAGTACATATACTATGAATAAAAATAAGCCAAAGGATTTATTTCTTTTTTATTGTTTGTTCATTCATTCATATGTGAATACATTGTTTGGGCCATCTCTCCCCCCTACCCCTTGCTCCTTGAAATTATTTCATTAGTTCATGAGATAGTATACTTTATATGATATGTTAAATAATAAATGTAATTATTTTACATATATTATAATTATAGAATATATAATTTCATATTATCCCACGTTTTAAGAGTATAAGGGAATACTTAAACCTTAGTATAGGACTTTTATATTTGCACCTTTAAAATCATAACAAACTTGTTAGTATGCATACATAGGGAAACCTTTGATAAGGGAAGTAAATTTTCTAGTCTCTCTTAGATTTGTTCCCTTGCTATTGTGAAGTACTATATAGGATAATTTTGAAACTATAGGATGAACTTTTTATAAAACCATGTTCTCAAAACCTAAATTAATGTTTTTTTCTAGCAAAGAATTTGCTTAATGGGTCAAGTGAACACAGGCATATTATTCTTCAGATTTTACTATATTAAATTTTGGTAACATACGATAGAGTTTACATAAATGTGGTATAATTCAAGTACTCTATTATGTAAATAATAGAAGATTTGTCTTGGTGAAAATTAGCATTGACAATTAATGAGACAGAAGGTATTACATATGCAAAAATAAGATATGAAAGAGACAGAAGTAGACATAAACTACTTTCCATATTTTTGTTCTACAAAAGATGTGCCTTAGTCAGTCTATCACTTCAAGAGTGACAACTACAGATCTCCTGGGTCAGATGGAGTCATTATTACAAGTAAGATATGTAGAAGACTTACCACAACTAGCTTCCCATGAAAGCTCAGGCTCCCTGCACATATCCTTCACCACCATCAAATCCATGTGTTTTCTTACTCACTTTGAAACAAAATACATTCCTCCACATGTAACTATTACTAGCTCTTATATAAAATAAAATAGGTAATTCCTAAGACATATAATTTCATGCTGTGTCCAAAGTCATGTTCATGACTTATATTTATACTATTCTTTGCATTCTGGAATTGTTTTCCAATTATTATTGAATTGACAGAGATCTTCAGGATTTACTCTGATTCAACGCTCAGGTGAAGTGCTTAAGAAGATTGATAGCAGCTATCATTTAATTAGAATTCATAATGTGCCAAGTAGTAGTCTATAAACTTTGAATGTAGCAGCAACAAAATAACATTAGGAGGTAGATGCTATGAATAGCCACATGAAAAAATGATGATATGGAGTAACTGGGAAGTTTACTAAATTTCTCAAGGTCATATTGATAGTACTTGAATGAACCTTGGATTTCAACAGGATCCAGGTGATTCCAGAGTCTACATTATTCACCCTTGTACTGTGCTCTCTCCAAACATCCCAAGGGTACAATCTGACTACACACTGAATGAAAAACTGAGAGACATTGTATGCTTTTAATGGTTACCACATCCTCATTACCATATCCTCATTACCACTGCCTAGCATTTTTTCAAGAAACAGTAATTAGCTGGGAAATTGTTGCATGATTATGAAAATATGAAATAAAGAAAAAATGTCAACAATATAGAAAGAGATAGGGCTGCATTTATAGTGTTACGGTTGAACTGGAAAGGATTATGAAGTAATTTCATTTACCACTAAAATTTACAATTTGCACACTGAGACTTATTTGTAAGTATACATGGAGAATGACTTAAACTCATGCTTTCTGAGTGATTTCTCTTGAATACATTATTTTTTAGAATTTGGACATGAAATTTCTATGGTGAGCATTCCCTGGACCTTGGCAGCATTAAATATAAAATTACATCACACTGTTCTCTACTTTTCTTTTCATTTTCTGTTTTCTCACTCACTACATAGCTAGCTACCTCAAGAGTTCCAAAAGTATATTAGTGGATGAAAGTCATGGGTTAGTTAAAAATATTTACTAAAAATCATGATAGTATTTCTAAAAGTGCTATGAATTGGTATAGGCTTGGATGAAATGGACAGAATTGTAGCCTCTAAAAAACTGATGGTCAGAGTCAGATGAAGTATTTGGCATGGTCAGAAATGTGCTAAACAATACTGGTGTTGTTTGATGCAGTTCACATTCCAGGCTTTCATGATACACATATGAAGAGTGCAAGTCCATTGAGACATGGAAGCCAGACCTCTAATAATGTGATATCATACCATTGAAATTGATGTTCCTGGGCAGGTTCTATATTGGTAACTACAAAAATCATACTGTAAAGTTACTCTCCATAAACACAACAACTTGAAGGACTGACTGTATGTTAGTCGAGAGAGCTAGGGCTTATTGGCAAAACTACCTAATAGATTTCACAAAAAAGAGAAATCAATTTGGTATGTTTACTAATGTCCGTATCAATATTAACATGTATTAAGTGAGTAGTTTTGAGTGTATGAATGACTGAGATGCTTTTGTTACTTTTTTTCATAAAAATATGCCATAGCCTTGAGAAAGGACCTGCAATTTTAGTCTCTAATGATCATACAATTAAAAAATGTAAAAAAAAATAGGGGGCAGAAGGGGAATGACAAAGAATAATTGAGGGTGCAAATTTTTCAAACCACATTATATGTATATATGGAAATATGAGGAAGCCTGTTTGTGAAATTAATATATGCAAATAAAAAGATCATCATATAGGAAATAGAATTGTCTGCTGAAAGTTATATGCATGCATTGGAAAAGGAGCACAGATGTTGATTAAATGTTTACTTTGAGTGCACAATGCAGAAGTTATAATGAAGATGTGACTCATGACATAAAGTACCATAACCTGTTTCATAATTTCATCATAGGACCTGTTCTCCTCAGCTCTGTCTGTGAGAAAGCCATATAGAAGACCATATGATGACACAGACTAACAATGTCACAGAATTTGTCCTCCTTGGGCTCAGTCAGGATCCTGAAGGTCAAAAAGCATTATTTGTCGTGTTTTTACTCAGTTACATTGCAACAATGGTGGGTAACCTGCTCATTGTGGTGACTGTCATTGTCAGCCCCTCCTTGGGTTCTCCAATGTACTTCTTCCTTTCCTACCTGTCATTCATAGATGCTGCTTACTCTACCGCAATTTCTCCCAAGTTGATTATGGACTTGCTCTGTGATGAAAAGACTATTTCCTTCCAAGTTTGCATGGGTCAGCTGTTTACAGAGCATTTGTTTGCTGGTACTGAGGTGTTACTTTTAGCAGTGATGGCCTATGATCGCTTTGTGGCCATCTGTAAACCACTGCACTATTTGACCATCATGAATCGATGGGTTTGCATCCTTTTGTTGATGGTGGCCTGGGCTGGAGGTTTCATACTCTCTGCTATTCAACTTGTCTTCGTATATACTCTACCTTTCTGTGGTCCCAATGTCATTGACCACTTTGTTTGTGACATGTACCCCTTGTTGGAACTTGCATGTACTGAAACTTACTTTCTAGGCCTTACTGTGGTTGCCAATGGTGGAGCAATGTGTATGGTGGTCTTCATCCTTCTCCTAATCTCCTATGGAATCATTCTAAACTCTCTTAAGACTCAGAGTCAGGAAGGGAGGCACAAAGCCTTGTCAACCTGTGGCTCCCACATCACAGTGGTTGTCCTATTTTTTGTTCCCTGCATTTTCATGTATGTTAGACCTGTTTCCAACTTTCCCATTGACAAATTCATTACTGTTTTTTATACAGTTATCACTCCTATGTTAAATCCTTTAATATACACCTTGAGAAATTCAGAAATGAAAAATAGTATGGAAAAACTGTGGTATAAAGTAGTAAGTACTGTTAGAACACCACGTTGACCAGAATACCAATTCTAAAGCAAAAAACAAATTACAAATTCTAAGAAATGATGATGTAGACCCATCAATGGCTTTGGTTAGGATTCTTCCCTTTATTTAAAGCAATCACAATAGAGGGAAACAAGTCATCCTTTGAGATTAGCAATCTAATAGAGAATTTCCAGAAAAATAAGTATAGGGTTTTGTCATATACAAGTAAAGATGAAACTTGGCTCCAATTGTAAGTTTACCTTTTTTGTTTAAGACTGAAATGGATTTTCAAAGAAAATGATTTATTCTTTTCAACTTGAGTTAAGCAAGATAATTTTGGCAATTTATGGTCTCCACGTTCATGTAGTAATAGATTTCTGAGACTAAAGAAGAGGTTTTAAAGTGGAATTGTTCATTATTCTTTTGGTAAAACAAGTTTATATACTTGCTTTATGAACACTGTTTTAGGATTACTTCTGTTCCTCGAGTGAATGTCTATGCATTTTAAATTCAAGGTACTTGGATGGCAGAAGATATTGTGTTTATGTAGCGAAGCTATCAGTGATGGTTTTTGTGGAGTCTATACTATGAGAAATTCTGAGATTGCAAATGTCAAGGATAAGCTCTGCCAATGAAAAGTCACATAAATAGAAAATAATTGAGCCACCCACCATGAAGAGAGTCATTTTGATGTTGGGCATAGGTCATTTGCATCCAGAAACCTTCTCAAATCTGATGATAACAATACTTCATTTCAAAGCTCTATGATAAGTATGATTAAAACACCAACTACATATTTGTACTCTTAGTCACAGCTTCATTCTTTTCTTAAACCAGTTAAATATGTATTACTATTAGTCTATTTTCTTTATTTGATTGCAGTTACATTACTTATGAATTTTAGTGTGATATTCTTAATTTTTAAAACATAAAATAGAAAGTATGGTGATAAAAACAGAAACCATACAAAAAAGATAAAATTGTAGGAAAAAAATCTTCTAGTCCTGTACCACAGTCTCCCAGTTGTGTCTCATTTGAAAATGACATTCTGTATTTCCAATATTCATCAAGTATTTATTCCTGACTAGGGTACAAACAATGAGTAAAAATGTAAAATGTGTAAAATTTAATGGCCAATGTTATAACAGGCTGACTGATACAAGCATACTTAAATGAGACCGAGTGGTTACATTTCAGTGTATATAAGTTTCTAATCACCCCTCAGCATAATGAAGAGCTTCATACAGTAGTTTACATACATAGACCTCATTGTCACTTTTCTTTTCATAAATTATATCCCTTTTTATGATGTACTAAAATAATGCGTTTATTATTTTTCACTTAGTTCCCACTTATTTTCTGATAAATAGCTCTGCAGCAAACTCTAAATATGTTTGTGTGCATTCCTAGAAGCTTTATTGTGAGTCAAATGGAGTACAAATTTAAAGTGTTGATATTTATAGTTATTGCCGAAATACCATTCATGAATTAGTTAAAAGATGCACCATTATCATCAATGTATGAGAATATTCATTTGTCCACACTACCACCAAACTGCTCTTGATAGTGGTGATAGGATGGACACCTTGACTACTTTAATGGAAAATTACTGCTTCATGTAATTTGAGCAATATTTCATGTTTAAAATTATTTATTCTCAATTTACATTATTTGGCCATTTTTCTGTGGTTGCTGATGTTTTTCAAATTGATTTTTATTATAATATTGTATAGAAGTAAAATTATTTTTGTTATTATACATGAAATTATATTTTCCCACCTGGCGATTTACTTTTCATGTTTTTTTTTATGCCCTGAAGTGATTTTTGACTTTGTAGCAATATTTCTGTATTTTCATGGTCAAATTTGTCAATATTTTCTTATACCTTGTTTTGAAGGACATAAGTCATTTCAAGTGTTACAAAACATTCTGTGTTTTCTCAGCATACACTTTTGAAGCTTATTTTGATATAAGAAGCTTAGTTTGAGAATGATTGTTTCTCTAACTGGACATTTTTATAAGTGCCTAATTTTTTTCCTAATGTTTTAAATTCTGACTTTATTATATGCTAAAATAATGCATGTGCTTGGATCCAACTCTGGATCCATTCTCTTTACATTAGTTCATTAGTATAAAATTACTCAAATTTATCTATATTGTATGCACAGGAGTCTTTGTGTCCATAAATTGAACCTGGGTGCTTGGTTCATTTTTCTCATAATACCAGCCAATTTCCACTAAAGACATGCTTCCTCTTAAATATCTAAAATTTTCATTTTATTACTAAAATTAAGCACATGATATGCCCCTTTGACTTAGAAAGATTACTAAAACTTTTCCTTGCTTTTAGGGATGCATATTTTCATGAAATTAAGGACACGGAAACACTGAGATGGTCACACAATTTAAACACAACTAACAATGACACAGGACTGATTAAGAGCTTTTCACATCATTGAAATATGAAATGCATATGTAGGGATTTTAAAATTTTTGTTTTTGAAATTTCCTTTTTGAAGCATTTTATTAGTATATATAACTTGTACAAGGGGGATTTCATTTTGACATTTCCATATATGTTTATAATGTATTATGGTTAGGTCTACCTGCAGCACCATTCTCCCTCATCACCTTCCCCCTTACTTAAAATAATTTCAACAAGTTTCATTGTTCTATTTCGATTCAAGTATAAAATGTATATTGACCGTATCCATCCTCCCTTACCTTCTTCATTAACTGTCTCCCCTCCCAGTAGTACCTCCAGCAGCACCTGTTTTAAATTCCTGGCCTTCACTTCGAAAAGTGTATATTCATTTTTCAAAGGGTATTCCCTATGGTATTTCACCTATGAATATATTGTTTTTTTCACATTTACTCCTTCTATTATTCTTCTTTACCCCTTTCCCTTTTCCCCCACCCATATTATTCAACAATTTTGAATGTTTCATTATTCATCTTCCTACACAGATATACTGAAATTTGTTTTTATTCACTTCATTATCGTGTGTGTGTGTATGATCATGGTTGTATTTATGTATACATTTATCTTTTGGGTCCATCTTCCACATATGAGAGAAAGCTTATGATCTTTGTCATTTTCAATCTGGCTTACATTGCTTAACATGGTGATTGCCAGTTCCATCCATTTACCTGCAAGTGACATAATTTCATTCTTCCTATGGCCAAATAAGACCCATCATATGTATATATTGTATTTTCTGTTTTTAATCACATTATTGTTGTAGCAGGGATACACTGTGATATTTATAAAAGTCATTACAATATATCTTATTTAAATTCACCTCACGGATCATTCTCTTTTCTCTCTATCCCCTTTCTCAGAACAGTTTTAACAGGTTTCATTTTTCCATTTTCATTCATGAGTACATAGTATTTTACCATATTTCTCTTTCTTCACATTTTCCTTATATCTTCTTCCCTCCCACTGATATCAACCCCCAGACAGGACCTGTTTTATCTTCCTGTCCTTTTTTTGAAAAAAAGACATTTTTATTTGTTATGATAGCTGTTCAGGGAGTTTCATTAAGACATTTCCATGTATACATGTATTATATCACAAATTTGTTCATTCTCCCCTATTTTTCTCCTTTTTACCTTAGTCCTCCTCTTACAGTGATTTCAACAGATATAAAAATTCTATATTCATTCTCATATAGAAAGTCCATCAACCTCATTCATTTTCTTTCATTTTTGCTTTTACCCTCTACCCCATTTTCTTAATACATTCATCAATGGTAGGGCATCTGGGCTGTTTCATACTTTGAGTTTCAATAAGTACATACAGTTATAGAACCACAACAGACACTATACCCACCACTTCATCATCCTTAAATATTTTCTCATATCTTTTTGTAGTTAGCTTTTAGATTTCCACCATATCCTGGCAAACATTGTTCATTTCTATCCTTCTAGATTTTTCTCTGGGTTGTGATCTAACATTGTACATAATCTTTTGAATCTGATTTATTTCTTGTAGTATGATGCATTCGAGATTTATATGTTACTGTAAATAATAAAAGTAGATCACTTATTTTCATTGCTGAGTAGTGTTCCAATTCATGGATAAATCACAGTTTGCATTAACCTTTCCAAAATAGAGTTTTCTGTGCTTTTCCTACATATTTGAAATTAAGAATAAAGTTCCTCTGATATTATAATACGTATATGTTTATTACTGAATAGGTTCTCATTAGACGTGGGTAAATACCTATGGGTAGATTATTTCATGGTAAGCATACATTTTACTTCAGAAGATCATGAATAATAGAAATGCAAAAAGGTTCTATTTTGGGGTGGGTATCAGCAGGAAGGGGTAAGGTGGATGGAAAGGATGAAAGGGGGATGAATATTATCAAAATCTTCTTTTACTCATGCATGAAAATAGAACTATGAAACCTGTGGAAACTGTTTTAGTAAGCGGGAGTGGGAATAAGGAGGAGGGATAGAGGGAATGAGTTTGGTTAAGGAATATCAGATGCATGTATGAAAGTATCACAGTGAAACCCCTTTGTACATCAGGTATGCATTGATAAAAATAAATTGACAAAATGTTTTTGAAAATGTAGACTTTTGCTTTCCAGCTTGCAGTAATTGATATTTTCTTCCTTTATCCTTGCCAGAACTTTTTATTTTTTTGGATTTTTTTCTTTTTTTTTTTGACTTTTAGTCATTCTACCTGGTATAAAGTGATATCTTGAGGTTTCAATTTTCATTTTTGAATAAATAATAATTTTGACCAAGTTTTTATCTGCTCAATTGTCATTTATGTAACTTGTTTTGTCTCTTATTCTTTGTTCATGTTATACTAAGTGATTTGTTACTACTGAGACTTGAGAGTTTACATTTTCTGGAAGCAAGTTCTCCATTAGCTTTATGATTTGTACATATTCTATCCCATCAGTTGCCTTGCTTTTCATTCTTCTAAGTGTGAACACTAGAATACTTCATTTATATAGAATACCATTCACCATTTTATTTTTCATTCTTTGTGGCTTTATTGTCATAATTAAGAAACATTTAATTTACCTGACCCAAGTTTACTCTGATGCTCCTCTTTAGGTCTTTAACTATTTTTGATAAATTTTTAATGATTGTGTAAGATATTTATCCAAGTTCACTTTTTGCCAATGTATATCCAAGTATCTCAGCATGATTTTTGAGAAGATTTTCATTTCTCCTCCATCTTTGTTTTCTTCCTTGGCTCCTTCTTCTTTGTCTTCTCTTTTAGAATAACAGGGATTCAAAGTCAATGTTTTACACTTCCTAGGCAGGTGCTCTACCCCTTGATCGATTCTCCCAAACTCTTTGCTTTAGTTATTTTATGACAGGATCTTGCATTTTGCTTGGATCCAGCATTGGACTATAAGCCTCTTACTTATGCCTCCTGCATACCTGGGGTTACAAGCATTCATCTGACACCTGACTTGTGTATTGAAACACAGTTTTGCTAACTTTTTGCATGGTCTGCCCACAATACATGTTCCTTTTGATTTCTACCTTCCATGAGCGAATACAGACTTGCACTGCCATGACTTATTTTGAGATTTCCATTTATTTTTTGAATTTTTGTGCAGTTTATTTTGATAAAAATCATCCAGTATGTGGCCATATTTCTGTGCAGTCTATTATGTTGACTAGACATATAAGTGTGTCTTTTCTGTAATATCACTCTTCCTGTTAGAAATCAGGTACTGTGATTCCTTAAACTTTATCTCTCTTCAAAATTATTTTATTATAGTTTTTTGACTTTTCATAGAAATTTTTTTATTAGTTCATCACATTGTATAATTAAATACCTCAGGGAGTTGTGTAGAATTGAGTAAATTAATAGATCACATTGAGAAGATTTGAGATGTTTATTGTAATGAATTTCCCATTTCATTTCAATGTCCTATTTCTTTACATATAGAGACTTCATTTGATTTCTTTCTCAACATTCTGTAACTTCAGAACTCTATAACTTATGTTATACCAGAGACACTCTTGGGTTTTTCATTCTTGGGATGTTTTCACAGACACAATATCTTGCTTATTTCTGGTCTCTTTAGGCTTTCTGTTTTTCTTGATTCAGTCCTGGTGTCTTGGTAGGCATGATGCTTCTAGTTTATTGTACATTTCTTTGATGTTATCCCTTCTATTGGCATATAATTTTTCAAAATAGTCTCTTTAATCCTTGGCTAAATATTTTTTCTATTATCTCTTCTTTTACTTCTAACTGTAATTATGGGAGTATTTTTGTAGTGTAGCTGAGGGCTTGTTAATTTTGTTTACCTTCTCAAAAAAACCCAAATCATGGTTTTATGTATTTTTTCTGTTCACTACTTGGATTATTATTTCTCCGATCTTTATTATTTCCCTTATTTTTTCTGCTAACTTTGGAATGATTTGTTCTTGATTTCTATTTCTTTTAGGTGCATATTTTGACTTTTTATTTGAGCTTTTTATTATTTCTAGGGTGGGTTTTGAAATAAAACTCCCACTAAGTACTCGTTTTTTTTGTGTGCCATCTATCTGATAAAGGTGACTACACAAAAAAAGAATCTCAAAACATTGCAAAAAAGGGGGAATATCAGAATCATTGTTTCAGAAGGAAGTCATGTAAGTGCCCAACAGATATTTGAAAAGGTTCTCAATGTCACTAACCACCAGAGCCCTGCCAATCAAAATCATATGAATATATGATCTAATGTATCTCAGAATTACTGCTATGAAAAGTACAATAGATGAAAAGTGTATGAAAGCATGTGGAGAAAAAGAAACATTACCGGTGAGAAGTAAAATTGGCACATCTATTACAGAGAACAGTATGTAAGTTCACCAAAATATTACAAACCCTACTATCATATCACCTAGCAATCCTAATTCTGCATATCTATCTAGAGAAAATGAAAATTGGATCTCTAAGACATCTACACATCCATGTTCATGGCAACATAATTCACAACAATAAATGCATAAAATGTTCTAAGTGTCCATTGATGGAAAATGCAATACACACAACACACACACACACACACACACAATTGAACAGAGCACTGATATGTAGGCTCAAAAGAGAAAAAAACTCTTATCATTTTGAAAACAAGGATGAACTTGGAGGACATTAACTGATATAATGCAGACAAATAAAGAGAAATACTGCATAACATGTCTTAAAGTAGAAGCCAAATAATCACTTCATAGGAGCTGATGGCAGAGCTTTGATTGTCCTGGGCCTGAGGTTGAATAAAAAGGAAGATATTCAGCAAAGAGTATACAGTTTCATTAGGCAAGGTGCTATACTTAAATATATTGTATATGTGAAAATTGATAAGAGGGCAACTCTTAAGTTATTTTAAAAAACTTGGTGACAAGTTTAACTAGGAGAGGTGGTGAAAGTGTTAATTAGGTTGCTATGATCACTTCTTGATGTAGGCATATATAAGAACTGTATGCTGCATACCTGAGGCATGTATGACTCCCATTTGTCAACTGCATATGTAAACAGCTGAGGAAATTAAAAAAATATCAAACCATATTACTAACTAAATTACTAAAATACAGCCACTGCATAATACAATTAATATTTTTGTATTTCTTATAATCTGTATGATATATTGATATTACTAAAATATGACCATTGTATAAACAATTAATATTTTTGTACTTCTTACCATCTCTCAGGTATATTCCAGTTGAGATTTACTATTATGTTTCTTGTTTTTACTTTACTTAGGTTCTTCATTAATGTTATGAGGCTATATACATTTAATGGTTTGCTTTTAATGATAGGAATTGTTTATCTCTTTTTAGTTTTCCAGAAAGGTAATCTCCTTATCTTCTGCAATTCTTACTTTCCAAATTGTAGCCCTGCTGATTTGTCTTGTTGAAGTGGATTATCTGCTACATCCAGTATAATATAGAATAATGGTGACAATTTCAGAAATTTATTTCTATTTACATTTTATTGAGGTTTTTTGAAATAAACCAAAAATGTTAACTTCCAAAATTCATTGTTGTCAATTACTTAGATGATTATACTGTTTTATCCTTATATATATTGATATGGACAATATCATATGATCATTTTTGTATTTTTATTTTATTTTTAGTTGGTACTAGGGTTTGAACTCAGGGTCTCTTGCTTGCTAGACAGGTACTCTGCCACTTGAGCCATGTTGCGTGCCTCTTTTAATGTTGGTTATTTTTGAGACAAGGACTTGCTTTATGCCTGAGCTGGCCTGGACCGTGTTGCTCCTTTTTGTCATTCCTATTGCAGCTGGGATGACAGACACCCAGTAGACAACAATTGGTTGAGATGGGTTCTTGCAAACTTTTTTGTCTGGGCTGTCCTTTACCGTGAACTTCCTGATCTTTACCTCCTGCTGCATAACTAGGGTTAGAGGCTTGAGCCATCATGCCAGCGTTTGCATTTTTATAATAAATTTTTTGTGGTGCTGGGAATTGAACTCAGGGCCTCACATTTGCTAGGCAGGCGTTGTTACTGTTTGAGCCAATCCACCAGCCCTTACGATAAATTTTTGTATGCCAATATTATGTTTTCTTATATTGTTGGATTCTGTTGGTTCTCTTCAAAAGACTTCTGGGTTAATTTTTATAAATTAAAATATGACATGGAATATTTATAACTGAAACTTTTCAGAATTTTATATCAGTCTTACATACCAACCCTTGTGTGGGGACCAGCAACCCTTTATGTAGAGCCATGGTGGGAAGGCAGTAAAATTTCCATAGCAAATAGAAACAGTCATATAAAATAGTCAAATAGGAAGAGAATGAGTGCTTCTCAAGGACGAATAAGGAGCACAGAGTGTGTAGCTGTAGAGGGCTAGGACTGAAATTGAGAAAAAGCAAGAGACTCAGGAAATGCACACTATAGTTTATGTTGTAAAAAGATAGTCTTGCAAAATGGAGAAACATTAAAGAGTGACACATTAAGAGAGAAAAAGAGTTTCAGTGCATGATACTGGCTGAAGTACCATGGCAGTGGAAGGGGGTTACAATAGAAGAATGAAAGGACAAAAGACAGAAAATAGAAGAAACACTGGTCACAGTACCAAACAGATTTTCAGCCTAACTAGACAGTTGTCCTAGTGTATGCACATAATATAGGTACTTGTAAAGTTCTCACATTTTTGTGCCATATGGTTGTGATACAATGGATGGAAACTATTTTGTTTGGTTCATATCTGTGTGTTCAGCTTTAGCAGTCTAAGTTACCTGCCTTGTCCTATTTCTCAAAATTCACAGCAAGAGTCAAAAAATGATCTAAGGTGTGCTAGCCTGGATAGCTGGTCTAGCTTCAGTGGAAATATTTTGAGTTAGCACTGCAGAGAGCACCCCAAGTTCAGAAACTAGTTAGAGTCTCAGCAGGGGAGAATGTCCTATTTAGGACACCAATTAAGGTAATAACTAGAAGGGATCTGGTGAGTGAGGATGGCTGTTTGTAAGTGATTAAGTGCAGGGGCTAGTTTGCAAACTGTCAAACATGCAGAGGGGTCAGCACATGAGAATTCCACTACAGTAATCACTATATTCCCATACACTTTCCTTGCCCCATGAGGAGACATTTGAAGGTGTTGAATATTAGAATCACCTGGAAAATAGCCTGTACTCTGACTCATATGGTCCTGAGAAATAGACGACACCAGAATAATTACCACTTTAACCACAAGTGCTAGGCAAGAACCATAAAGAACAAAATTAGAAGGTAATAGCACTTTCCCTTCTCTCATGTGGTGGTGTGTAGCTGAAGTAGCAACAGAAAGGTTTCTTCTTCCACTTAAGTTGATATCTTTCACTGCTGCTCACATGATCAACTTCTTTACAGAACTGGGAACCTGTCCTTCCAAAATAAATTTCCACTTTTGTATCTTGATTGTTTGTCTTTCTATAGAGACTTTTAAAACCAGACTGGTTTGAAGTTTAATGCAATTTCTTTTTTCTTATTGTTTTTATATTGCCTTCTGATATCTACTTTCATAGTCTTGTTTTATACTGCCTGTTCTCTTTTCTTTTACAAAAGCAGCTTGCTCTTTAGGGCACAGGCTGGCCTCAGTCTCCTCCGTGGTGTAGTTGCAGATGTAAGCCATCACATTCAGATTTTAATGTTAGTTTTAATCCCCTTATACTCTCCCTTTCTGTTAGAAAATTCTCATTGTCTTTAATAAAATCGTTTTTTTCTCTTTCCCTCTTCTCCATTTGTTATTTATCATCTTTCCTCCCTTCTAAATTCTTCTTCTTTTTCATTGTTTTTGATATTTGCTTGTTTTCTTTTCTTATTTTACCATGAGTGGGATCTTGTCCATCTCTTTTCATTTTCTTTCTTGGTACCCTTTCTATTTATTTGTATTTCTTTTCCTATTTTTTTCATAGCATTACTCATTACTTTTTCTTATTTTTCCATTGCTCTCTTGCTAACCAATAACTTTTTAGTTCATTCAGTATTATTTTTGCTTCTTTTTTCCTATAATGTTATCAGTTGTGGCTGTAATTATTTTTAGTTAGTTATTACTATATTCCCATAGCTGGTTTGGGGGGGTTGCTACTGTAGTTAGTTTTCATCCCTCTGAATCTTGATGGAGATTGAGCCCAGTGCCTTAAACACACTAAAATGTAGTCTGTTTGTGAGAAACTACCTCAACCCTGCCATAACCTAGACGCACCTGAACTTTGGTGAATATATCAAGAGAAATAATCCAGGAAATTAATACTCCAGGCAATGACTAGGCCTCAGATGTGTAAATCCTAACACACAAGTATATGAACAGCAATAAATGAGGCATCATGACACCTCCAAAAGTTAGGCCGCAATGGGTTCTAATGGTAGCAAATAGATTAAAGAATTTAAAGGAATGACTATAAGAATGATCAGTCAGGGATGAATCAATTTGGGATACAATACATACATACAGGGAAATGTCATAAGGAAACTCTCTGTATAGATGAATTGGAAACTTGAGAAAATAATAAAGAAAAATAAGAAAGTACAAACAGAACATACAAGACCATTGTGGCAAGATTAAACCAACCTTACAAATCGAGGGCATAGAAGAAGAGGAAGAACAAGTTATAGGCATAAAAACATTTTCAATGAAAACAATAACAGAAAATTGCTCAATTCTTTGGAAAGAGATGGGCATCTAGGTAAAGAGAACTTGTAGAACTCCAAATATATATGGGCAGTAAAGATATACGAATGTCATCTTATACTTAAAAAATACCAAGTCTACATAAAAAAAGAAAGGATATTGTACACTACAAAAGGGAAGTGCTGAATCACATATAAAGGTAAATCTATAAGCGTATCAGCAGATTTCTCAACATAAACTCTAACATCTGGGAGGACATGGGATGATGTGTTTCATGCCCTGAAAGAAAATAACTGCTAACCTGTATTAAACAAGGTTATACTTTAAAATAAATGAGAAATAAAGACTTTCCATGACAAAAATAAAAGTAGAATTTATGATGACTAAGATAGCACTACAGAAGGTGCCTATAGGAATCTTACTTAAAGAAGAAGATGATAAACACAACCATAAAAACAGAGGAAAGAGCAAACCTCACTAGAAGAGCAGATAAACAAATGAGGATTAGGAAAGCATAGAACATTAAAATAACAACAATATGTGAGGGATTAGTACATACTTTTATATTAGATCTCTAAATGCTAATGGTCTCAATTTTCTAAGACATAGACATTTAAAAACATTACACAACTATTTGCTGCCTGTAAGAAAAGCACCTTGCAAGCAAACACAAACACAGACTGAAAGTATAAGAATGGAGAAAACATATTCCAAGCATGCAGTAGCAAGCAGGAGTAGCTAAAGTTATATGTGACAAAGCAGACTTCAAGACAAAATATTCAGAAGAGACAAAGAAGGTCATTTAGCATTAATGCAGGAAACATTCCATCTAGGTTAATTTAACAACTATAAGCATATATGTGCCAAATTTTGACAAATCAATTTTGGAAAACAAATGGTAATGGACTTAAAGACACAGATTAAACCAAACACAATAATACTGAGAAAACTATATAATGCATTCTCTACAATAAATACATCTTTCAGAGAAAGTATCAGCAAAGAAACTTTGGAACAAAATATAGTCAAGTAAGATTAACAGATCTAAGTAATATTCTACTCAACAACAGAAGAACACTCAAAGTGATTCAGAGATTTAAATGTAAGACTTGAAACTATGAAGAAAATAAAATGAATCAGAGGGTGAAATTCTTTAAGACTCTGGAATGGAAAAGATTTTTGGATAAATTGTAAATCATAGACAACAGTTACAATGGGTAGTTTCATAAAGATAAATAACAAATACTGGAGAGGATACAGAGAAAAGGCACCCTCAAATGCTGTCAGTGTGAAAAAAAGGTTAATAATCCACTATGGAAAACAGTACAGAAGCTCCTAAAAAATGAGAATAAAACTATCACATTGTCCAGGAATCACACTACCGGGTATACAGCCAAAGGAAAATAAGTGAGCATATGACAGAGATAATGGTATTCC